AGACAACCTCTCGTCAATATGCGTTTTTCGCATTGCATTGCTGCAAAAAACGCATAAAAACAAGAATATCAGAAAAAAATATGTAGGATCCATTATGTACTGCGTGCCATTTACTAGTATTAGTTCACTTTTTCAAAGCGGTGAACAGAAACGTAATTCTGTCCTCAGCTTTCCTCGTCAACATCATTCATTTATTTTTCGAATAAAAAGAAGCACCGCTGTTTGGATGAGCATGGCCCGCTGATCACGCATTGTTCGGACGATATCCAATGGATATACCGGTTCATTGGCTTCAACCAGACAAGCAGCCGTCTCCATCAGTATAAGCACACCCGTTCGTCCAATTCCTGCACTACAGTGAACAACAATTGGATCCACAGAACCCACTCGTGCACGCCGAACCTGTCAGTAGATGTATTAAGTTTGACACAGAAGAATATGCAACCACCCTACTCTGATTTAAAACAAACAAATGCGTATTTTTTTGGATTTATTCAATCCACACGTCTAGTCGGCAATGTAACTTACTGCACTCCAGAAATGGCAACGTTCGAGATGAGACTACAGTGTTCAATTAAGTGGCCGGCGCACCGTTTTTTGCATAGTTTCTCGCAAATTTTTGTCGCTAACGACGTTGTTTTTTCCGGTAGACGCTTCTATCCAAAAGAATTAAGACTGGCGGACAGGACTGTTAGAAAGCATCCCTATAAAATTTTAGCTTTCTAGCTTTCCTGATTCCCGAATCAGGAAAGCTACAGAGCTGAAAGTATCCACAAAAAACTTTCACGGGCTCGTACAGAGGAACCATGCATATCCGGGAGCTAGGTCTGAACTCATTAGGACTTACGTGAACGGGAACATCCCCTTAAAATTACAGCTTTCTAACTTTTCAGTTTCCCGAGTTAGCAAATTACCCGCAAAAAAACTTTCACGGGCCCACACGTGGGAAACACGCATACCCAGTCTCTGAGTTTGAGCTCATTAAAATACTTCTGTGGACGGGGAACATTTACTTAAAATTAAATTCCTCTAGCTTTTCTGGTTCCCGAGTTACCCGTAAAAAAGTTTCATAGGTAAGTATGTGAGAATCAGGCGAGTAAGAGCGCTCATTTTGGGGATTGGTGCCCGTACATGCATGTAGATTAAGTCCCCAAAGTTTCATCCTGTAGCTTTGGTAGGTCTCGAGATGAGAAATCGGTACAGAAGAACATACAGCCATACACACATTCACACACACACACACACACACACA